ATAATGTTATGTTTTAAGTTGAGCACAAACGGTAAAAGTTTCCTAACAGAAAATACATTTCATGCCAAATTCACACAATCAAAGATATGCTTGATATATTTCTATTATATTATACTGTCTACATATGTTTCATTTTTGATGAAGTGAAACTGAATAGTCTATATCGGACAATCTTTTCCTTTGTCAACATCAGACAGTGAGGGGTTGAATACTGTGTCAAAACAAATCTCCAAAACTTGCTATATGATTTGCACTTTCATTTTTTGGTTAAAAACTAACAAAATAAGAATCGCTTGTTTCCATTAGGCATTATATTAGCAATGACATTGAGAAGAGGCCTAAAAATCTATATATAATAAACAGCGTAGGAGTACAGCTGCCTGACATGACCCTCGCCGGAAACTTTAGAAAAACCTCGAAGGTGATCGATACTATATAACTTTCTTTTAACGTATAGCTGTATGTACTGTTTCCATTAAAATCTCTCATTTTGCATCAACAATATGGGGCTTAATGTGAACAACAAGAATGAATGATTATAAAAAACTTGTCAATTGGAATAAGCTGTATTTCAGCCGCAAACGGTTCAGAACTTTATAAATGGCAATCCAAAAATACTAGATTTTTACAAAGATGAAGCTACACTACGCAAGGCTAATACTGACTGTGGCTCAAAATGTTATATACTTCTGTACTTTGACCATGCTACAGTGTGTTGCTAAGTAACTAAGATATACGAGATATAACATCCATATTCTATACTTTCCAAATCATCAGAAATTTTGTAGTTTGTCAGTTCATACGATATTTGTACAGAACGTTAGAAGTAAAGACTGAAGACTAAATTGATACAATTTTAGTTCGGTATATTTACAATTACTGAAACCAAATATTTTAATACATCTCGGAGTGCATGTTTTCATATTATAGTCTATAGAGCTATATAGCCTGCATGTTTTAACGTGTTTTTTACGCCATATTTCGTGAGTTGAAACACCGCATTCGTTGCATGTTATCCCCTTATACAATATTTAGGAAGACGCAATACAAGCTAAATCTTATCTCCCTTTTTAAGGCTATATATAAGGTTTATATTATTATTATGCAACACGCTCAAATATAATTATCCTTCATTGCCATTTTCTTGAAATTTGCAATGAAGCTACCCATCCACTAAATATTAATTAATCATGCATACACAAGGGTTTATCTCCTAGAATCCTTGATAGACGTATGTGACAGTGATTATGTGATTGTATCTGTCAAGATAACATATGTCTCTGTTTGCTCCATGCGGTCTCGGGGTAGTAGAACATGCAAATTAAATCGAGTTGAAGAACATGTCTTGTCTTCGAGCTCGTATTAAAAAGAGGCTGAAAACACGATTTTTTCGAGCCCCAATTCTTCTAGTGACTATAATATAATATGACCTTGAAATTATTAGTTGTCATCAAGGTTCTGTATAGTGTAAGGTACTGAATGGAAACTGAATGGATTAGTTGTACATATAATATATTAATATATGTCTTTGTTTCGATGGAAACACTAATTGTCAGACTGAGTGAGTCTAGAATTTTTAGCCAGACTGGCTACGGTTTGACGCAGTATATTCATAGAATATTTTCGAGGGTTCTGTGACTGTAAGGTGTGAATCAGGCCTGGGTGTGAATGAAACTGGTGAATATTATATGGTGGGTGTCTGTGTTTTGGTCTGTACTCTATGGGGAGTTCAAAACAAATATTAGTCTGAGTCACTTTGGATTTTTACTCAGACTGACTCAGGAATGAGGCAAATTTCTAGTACATTCATGGAATGATAGGTGTGCGGTTCTGTTAGATTCTCAATATGCATGAGACCGGATGGCCCAGCCATTCCAGAATGAAAGTGAATGAGGCCAAATGAAAATGAATAAAATATGTATGGCTCAGTTGCGGTTTGTCCACGATGATAATCTGACTCTGAATTGCTATATGCAATGTAAATGAAGTACGAAAAAAGGGGGGAAACAGTAAATGAAAATTATAAAAAAAATTTCAGGAGTAAAGGAAACAGCAAAGCAGGACTTTAGACGGTCAATATTAAAACATTTGCCACATGCAGCATGAATGAGTGCGCGCGCACGTGCGTGCGCAATAGCATCATTTCTTTGTGCTTCAGTACCACGCTCAGTGCAACATGTGACCGGATTCATTTCGTGGCTGTGCTTCAAGCGAACAGGATTGAAAAACAGGTATGTCGAGTTTCCTTGTTGTATTCGTCGAACCTCATTGACCGTCCCGAGCTGAATGCTACAACTTCCATAGTATATAGCTGAGTAATAATGATAATTATTTCCCTGACGTATCGACCATATCGGATATAAAATAGAGGGAAATGTCGGACACATAAACAGCCGCCCTGAATAGTGGCGTACGGTAGCTTTAATTCGAGCGCCTATTTTGTCTTCTATTGTCCCTCCTCGTGTACAAACCGGGATTTACCCTACATATCCCTGTCGAATAGTACAACATCGTCTATTTCCTTGTAGAACGGGGAGTACTAAACTCAAGAGAAATATCTGACGCTTTAACAGAAAAACGCGGTCCAAGCGAATTGTGTTTTGTCTCACTCTCTATAAATCCTAAAATCGTTCATCTTGTTCCGAGCGCTAGCTTCCTAATTGTATAGCACAAATGTACATTGCTGTTAATGCATTTACGATTCGCTAAGCTTCAAAATAATGCGAAACGCTTTTCACATGAACAGAACACGCGCCCAAACGGCGTTGTTTGAAATTCAATTCATTCCAAAATGTCTGTGATTTTTTCTTACGGGTAGTGTAACAACGGATGAATGGGATTTATCCCAAGTTGTGGACTTTTGTCCGCTATCACCCAGGGAACGCTTTAAACGCTTGTGCATCTACGGTTTATTTCCATTTCATGAGAGCTCGTATGCGTATAAAACTCACACAATACGTAAAACCATAACAGATGCGAGGACAAAGATTTGTGTAGACTTCAACCTCGTTGTAGCTAGCCAAGCTTACGCGAATCAAACCACTTTGCGTGTCACAAACAGTGTCCAAGCCGGACTTCGCAAATCGACGCGAAGTTATTACGACACAGCTGAATGTCTTGTCAAGCACAGAAGATTCAACATCGATGCATGTTATAATATTTACCTAAGGAGCCAAAAATGCCAAATTCCTATTAACTTAAAATTCCGGTCATGTTTTGAACAATGACAAATAGCAAAGGAACCCCGGAATGAAGGTTCGACACGTTTTGTCACGTTCGCGTTGCGCGTTTTCATTTGCGTTTTGGTAAACGTTTTGCGTTGAACTAACTAGCTTTGTCTATTATCTTTTTAACTGGTACAGTACGTGTGTTGTTAGTTCATGTAGACAAGCATCTATATGTAGCTACTATAAGACAGGGCAATTCAATTGCCGTCCTTGTAAACGTTTTTGCGCTGTATACTGCGCTAACTCTACTATACAGCTTTAAATTAGGTTTGCCTCTAATACGTTATTTGTCAGTTATATTTTTCTACCCATTTCAATTTTTCATGAGCCATATTCCGTCTAATATTATATGTCTTATATGCTTTTCCTCGTGATGACGGGTACTGGTCCACTTGCACATCTTCCTGTATAGCATCATGACAGAACTGACAGTGCAATCCAGTTTGTTTTTCAATATTTTCCTGTACACCATGCTATAGTTTTCGGTTTGGTTTCGACCCATAACACGTAAGCACGTGTTCTTCACTGTTTCATAAACAGTTTCACGAACAATGCTTTTATATAGTACAATCTTATAAGTAAACTTACCATGTATCTGAACTTCATTCGAGCGTCAAAGAAATATTTGGGAAACGGCGCTGGACTGTATATATACAGTCACTCTAAAAAAAGAAAATTTACTTGTTTAGTACGAAAGTAAAACACTCATTGTCATGTAGACCGAGAAATTTAAATTACAGGCCGGTGCATTTGAGGTATTTTTAGAAGGGACAAGAAGAGAATCGAAACTCTATATGCATGCATGAGTGAAATATCGTGTGAAATAAGACTATATTATAAAGAGGTCACAAAATATTATGAATTTTTTTCATCTGATTATCGATTCATGCGCTCAAAATATGACTGTGCAATCCCAATCATCAATATTACATGACGTTTTAAAGCGAGAGGAATATAATGTTCGGACTAAAACCATGATATAAAATTGTGATTGGTAATTTGGATCGTATTATTTACCGGCACAGGAAGTTGGATTATATGAAAAAATCTAAGCCCTAACAAGTTTTTTTTAAGTATAGAGACAAATGCACGCTGCATGGAACGATCACGAAACGCTGTCATATTATTGTCTGCATATATAGAGAGAACACAGCCCTTATAAGACACCAGAGGAGGAAAGCACACTAAAGTACCGAATTTAAGTAGGAAACTGGGTATTAAGTTGCAGGAAAGATTTAATACATTTGAGGAAAAATAATGAAACACAAAACTTCCTCATTAATTAACAAATACTTGTCCCAGACATTGAGACAAACATACTGTCATTGACATAAAGGTGAATATATATTTTGTCTGAAGAGAAGATAAATTGGAAAGAAGATAAACTTCAATTTCACTTTCTTGTATTTTCTTGAACCAAAAATTTGGCTTGCAACGCTATTTAGAAACGCTTCCAGGCTCGCACAGGTAAACGATAAACTTTGTGAGCTGAAATTTTGAGGATTGAAATGGATTGAAGAGAATATACTGAGTGGAATATAACTTATACATGTCATACTTGAGGAACATCTTGCACGCACAAAACATCTGATTAATTAAAGTTATGCATATAAACCTTAATATAAATTCACATGCATGCTGTTAGAGTGGGATTATCGAATATTGGTGAATACTACGTCAATATAAAATTAATAGTCTGTAAAATTGTTGCAATATACAGAATAGTTTAAGATGCCGAGAATGCTTATGCCCTTTATACGTAATAGTTATACGAAAAGACAATTGCTCTGCGCACAGTATTACGCTTTATACGACGCTTTCTCAGTTGTTGATGTTGGTTGCAAGTACAAGTTTACTACAGGAACATTATTTTCTCTCCCTAAAAACTGTAAGCTGACCACATCTGCTGGTAAAACTGTACTTTGTTTGCTCTTAATCACCAGACAATGATGCCAATTTCTTACCGTTAAAAACCTTTCCGTTTAGAAGATGTTTTTTAGCACGCCGCGCAATCAATTATGTGTCTGTGGTATAACCCTAACAATGACAGGCTTTAAATGATTAATATATTATAGGAGAGGACTTTTGTCTGCCAGTAATAATCGCCAGTAAATCATCCCCACTGTTTTGAAAAAGACTTTTTCACAATTAAAATGATTTCCCTCGTTTTATGCAAAGTATACGATATTGGATTAGTTACGCTTGGCGGCAAAGATGAAAGGCTTAATTAATTGCGACAAACATAACGGATTTTCATAGGAGATTTCGTCGAAGGTATATGGAGCTTTATATAATCAAGAATATATTCTTCATACAGGCTTTACAAGTTTCAAAACGAATAAAAAAATTTAGTTTTATTTCGAAATTAAATATAGGCAGATCATTTTCACTGCAGCCTTGAACACCATTGGCATTGCGGCGTTAAATTGGTATAGTATCGTCAACAGTCTCATAATCTATCGGCAATAAAATTGACATGATCCAGTTAATTTGATATCTCTTCTTATAAATCTGTAGTCAGAGCAAACAGATGGTGTTTTTCCAGTACTTTTAAACAATTAAAGTTTTATATTTTATCAATTAGTCGAATGACTGCGGTTAATTGTTTTGTTTGTGTCTTGCTAACTATGTGCAGCATCTTCAACCATTATCGAGGATTCAAAGTACTTTTACTAAGTATGCAACTGATTTTGATCAAGCAATGTAGTTTTATCTATGTTTGACGTACTGTACATATATAGTCATAGGCTCTATATCCATCAATGAATGAGTGTTTTGTACATTGATGCAGTAAAAGACAACAAGAGGCTGTGCATGAAACAACTATGCAGAAACAACCAGAACTAATAATTAATCCAAAAACAAATAAACAATACTTTTACAGGTATAAAGCAAAATATAAACGGAGTTATAGCGACTATACGAGTCTGAAACGTTGTAACCTTGGCTTCCAAAACAGGTGGTTCAAAACTAATTGAATTATACATAGAAGAGTAAAATGCAGGAGATACTTTATAGATATGCACAGTAACTACATGATCCCAACGATAAATCTAGTTCATGAAATATTCCAACATATGGCAAAGGGGCACTGCGATTTTAGTATACACTGCATTCATAACTCACTATATACGAGTATATTGATGCTCAGGTAAGCGTCATATTTATGCTTGTGGAATTAAAGTAATAAAGAAATGCAAAACAATTTTCAAGCGTGGATATACAAAGTTAAAAATAACCAGATTCTGAAAAGATAGAATGAAAATAATTTCTATATACCAAGAGAGAACCCAACCTCTGAAAAAATATACTTGGTAACAGGTCATAAATTTTTTTAAATGTTTTGCTTTGGCTGTCTGAGTTTGCAAAGCTTGGCATGAAGTTGTGTTGATTTTGCAAATTAAACGAATGCTGCATGCTTCTACAAACATAATTAAACACAAATTAATATTGGATGGTAAAAACGTGACTTGATGTTACTACCTAGCGACTGCAGCAGAGGCTAGAACAATTCAATCACCATCGTTATTTATGTTTCCATGTAGATTAGACGTATAGGGGTTGGAATTTTAAAAACCTTATACTTGTAGTCGTTCAGTTAATTATAGCTACCAATTAGTTTAATAGATCTCGTCGCCAAATTTAATAAAAGGTTGCCCTATCGGTCAATGTAGTATGAAGTATTCTGTTTAGTTGTATAGATTTATACCATAAAAAAAGGTTTTTTAATATGTTGCATGGAAAACGACATGCAAAGGTAGAATGAAAACTTGTGAGACTGGAATCTTTAGAATTTAATACTTTATCTTTTCAATTTTTCTCTCAATCGCCACGTGGCCTACACGGAAGAGATTATTTCGCTGGCCTCAGAGTGACAAAACCTAACACAGCAACGGTTTTACTAACACTAACCCCATTCCAAACATCAACTCTAAACCCTAACCCTACTCCAAGTTTGTTTCTAAACCAATCTTGAAGAAAACGTTTTGAAGAAATGTCATTCTGAGGACAGCGAAATAACTTCTTCCGGCCTATATAAGGGACGGGCCATTAGAAAAGTGATGGGGGCAAAACCAAAAAAGAAAATTATTTCCAGAAAAAAATTAGAGAAAAAAACTCTCTCCAGGCATAGTGCAAAAAAAAATCCTTGCTTGGAAGATAGGCCTATAAAGTTCACTTAAAAAAATATTTCCAGCAATCAATTGAGAAAAAAATATATTTCTTCTATAGGTGAACAAAAAAAAATATTGCCTCTTAGCCCCCCCCCCCATCACTTTTCTAATGGTCCGCCCCTAACCTTTGGCAAATATCTGCTCGCCAGATTAAAAATTTCAACCCCAGACAAAAAACTTAAATAGCGACGTAAATATACAGCGTGTTTCATTTGGCTGGTATACATATAATAATTAGTTCCATTTTCTTTGCAATTGTGGACTGTGAAACCAAACAGACTTTGAACATGCGGAAACGAAGCTGACAGTTTCGCATGTCACTTCAACGTGAGTTTAAGCATGCATGACTTGACATGACTGTTTTGAAGTTGAAAACGGACACAAGATATTTGTTTTGGCTAACTTGAGAGATGCAGTTATAATATTCTTCCCGTATCAAAGTTTCTGTGATCACAGTAGGAATTCTACATAGGTAAATTGTAAGTTTTGAAGGATTTGTTAGAAATGTTTGAGGGAACTGCCTCTTTGTTAAACAGTGAGTCAGTTCTTACAAAACCTTCAAAACTTAGAAAATTCACGTATATGTAAACTTTCTACTGTGATCACAGGAACTAATTTGATTTTAAGTGTATTAAAACCAGGCTTTATAACACTGCAGAAATTTAATCGGATGTTGTAACATATAGGAAATACAACTGAAATGTCATAAAGGTCAAGGGGGTTGTTGCTGATAATATTTCAAAACAAATTCAAATGTCTATATATATTTCTCAAGCCATGACCAGACGCGTAGCAAGGCTAGACTTACAAATATCAGATGCCAAATTGCCAAAACACAACTGTTACACAACTCAGTATGTTGTAAGATCATTGCAATTAAAACAGCGTGAGTTTTTTTGTGTGGAAAATTATATGTTATAGGCCTTCCGGGTGTACAGTCTAGGACCAATATAGGAACGCGACATCTGTAAGCTTTAAAGGACGAATAAGGTCTATTTTGGTGTAGAATGTGAGTTTTCACACGACTTTTTAGGAAATTACGCAATTTAGGTGATAGGCCAATACACAATGGGAAGCTAACGTATGCTTCAGAAAGAGACTAACTGCCCGTATTCTAAAAGCTCACTCACACTCAATGAGTAGAGGTTGAATCTGAGCTTCTCTTGAGAAGAAGAAACTTTATTCAAACAAATACCAATATTGGTACATTGAATACCTACATATACATTAGTTACAAAAAATAAAATATAAAAAAAAACATTACAGTATATAAACTTACAAATAATTTATTCAGGCTAACTCATTCAATATGTCAAAAGTTCTTAGTATATCGTAGCAATATTTTGAAGATACTTTCAGAATATTTCTATCTTTCATACTTAGTATATAATGGAACAAACTTCGTGTATCAAAATATTTAAATGATTGGTTAATTTTATAAACAGAATTAATAAAATTCTGTCGCAAAAATGTAAACACTGTGTTACCACATGACATTAGGTAATGTTGTTAATTTCCAACTTCACCCTGATCACAAAGTTTACATTTTCTGTCACAGTAGGCAATTTTTTTATATCGGCCAATTTCTACTGGTAATCTGTGCGCTGAAACTCGTAATCTTGTAACTGCTTGACGGTACTTAAAATTTTTAATTTCTAAAAGGTATTTTTCAATACCCACATTTACTTTAAGTTTCTTATATTCTTTCAATTTACCACTATCACCATTTTGAAGAACCTGGTCTTTCCAAAATGAGGTAAATTCGTTATTTAATGTAACATTTAAATAATGGCAAAAATTTCGTCTTGTTTTGGTTGACTCATCACTGGAGTTTGAAAATTTTTCGAACTTGAGTGTCAGTGCTGTTTTTGGATAGCTGGAGGGTGAGTGTAGTCACATAGTAAGGTACGACACTAACCCTCCAGCTATTCAAAAACAGCAATGACACTCAAGGGAAGCTCAGATTGAACTTCTACTCTTTGAGTGCGAGTGTGCTTTTAGAATACCGGCGTAAGTGACAATATAGCTTTCACATTTTGCATTCCTTTTCAAGGCAAAATTGTGAATATTGTCAAAGTTTTAGAAAGTGAAAAACAGTAAAAAAACGTAAATTAATTTTCAAATACGCATAATAAATAACCACTAAACCAGTGGATTTAATGCAATGATGGAATAGTTTCCTAAAACCCAGAAGTATTAAAAATCAATGAACGAATCCATTTTTCGTACTCACGTGAAAAAGCTGCACGCAGGCCTCAATAGCCAATCAGCGCGCGTTATTATACTATTCATGAGGAATAAGAGTGTTGACAAGGATAAGAAAAGAAACAAACCGCGCAAATGATGAAGGAATAAGCAACTGAAACCTGACATACTGAAATAAGGAAACGTTATCACCAATTTTAGTGGATATTTGCAAGGTACTTAATTGTCTGTTATAAACACGAGCAGTCATCTAGAAACAGAGTTACTGTAATTAAAATGTTAGATGTTAGAGGCTCATAGAAGAGATACGTAGTCGCAGAGAGCACTATAGGGTTCTGGTTTTCTTGCAAAAATACATCAATGTTTCTCTAATGTTATGCCTTGTTTACACTATCAAAGTTTCTGTGATCACAGTAGGAATTTTGCATCGGTAAATTCTAAGTTTTGAAGGGTTTGTGAGAAATCTGTTAGGGAACTGACTCAGCATTAAACAATGAGTCGATTTCCTCAAACATTTCTTACAAATCCTTTAGACTTTACCTATATGTAAAATTCCTGGTGGGGTCACAAAATCTTTGATAGTGTAAACCATGCTTTAACCTATTGGAACGCAGACGTGAGACGGTAATTCGTATTTCCCAAAACTAACTTTGACGGTTTCTGTGGCGCAGGCTACCCATTGTTGCTGTTGTCTGTGTATGGAGAATGTTGCACGTACGTCCAGACTGCAATGTCCATGCATGAGTAGTTGCATTTGTCAGAAATATTCTAGCACTTGATGTACAAGTCATTTGTAGTAGGGCATTTACAAATTTATTTATATTCAGGTCAATGAGTTACAAAAACGACTTTACAAAAGTTGTATAGGAAAATAAATTGTTGTCATATTTCGCTTAGAGAGGACGAGTTAGGATATGGCCTTATGGGTAAATATCAATATTTTGTTGGCTACGAGCCTACGTTACTACCTAGCGACTACTACATGGACTGCAACAATTCAACGTATGAGTTGAAATTTTACAGACATAATCCTATAATATAAAGCTTACCAGAAATACGAGACCTCGTACGAGATGATAGATAGATATATATATATATATATATATATATATATATAACTACAACTATTGTAGCAATTACTAATTTTTGAACGCAGATATGTTTATATGGCAGACTGAAAATACAAGAACTCATGCTCGCTTCAAATGTGTTTTCATTTTAAACAGGAAAGTCAGGATATGCAAATTACGTAGTGAGATTAGGACTCCAGTAAAATTACTTCACGTGAATGTGATTTTCCCGACCAAACATGGCACTTGTTTTTTTTCGCGATATGCTCGTCAAGACGTCAGTGAAAGGATGTCCGGAACGGACGTTTGAGCAGTAGAAATACAACCCCCTGACCCTTTTTCGCGGGTATTTGCAGCTATATGCATTATATGATATAGTTGTATTTTATACAAAGTCAAAGGACAAAGATTTTTTGCCCCTCAAGCTTAGTTTGACCTTTAAAAATTCGTGTTTGTCAAGAAAAACTTGTCATGAAAAACATGCCAATTTCAAACAGAAAAGACCGGCCTAGTACAGTCTAACAATTCGCTAAAGTTTCCCCTATTAGAACATTCCACAAACAATAAATGAGGCATATCGTGCAAACAAGGGCATGCATGGACGCGCACGAATAGTAACTTACAAGCTAAATCTAGCCTTAATGATATGGTCAAACACATTAATCTTACACTGTGTTTACAAGGCGTCTTTTCCTAATGTGTTTTTTAATCCTTTCCGTTCTCAGGCATTGGTCGGACACCCAAAGCATCACACAATATTTTAAGATGCCTTTCCTAACCATTTTCTAACCAATCAAAAACAAAAAAATTCAATGTAACAGCTAGTGTAACAGCAAAGGCCCACACAGACCGAACGCGATTCGACAACGCGACGCGAATTTTCAGTTTTTAAAACCAAATAAAACCGTGAGCGGATAAAAATTTTACAAGATATGCAGACCAAATAGTTAAAATTGCTCAAGTGGTTCCGAATATTTGAAAAACATAGAAAAATATTAAAGTTAAATGTCATTGAAAATTGGCGTCGCCATGCCGAATCGCGTCCGGTCTGTAAGCCGTAAGGGCCTTAACAGGTGCATACAATGGCTATGCAGTCTCTATAAAAACGAGTTTCAGGCTCAAAGTCAAAGAGTTACTTCATTCATGAAAAAAAAAAGAAATATTTACTTATACAGACCACAGCTCTTAATATTGATTAATATTTAGCCTGTATTCTTCCAGTCAACGGAACTTAGATCTCTTTACATAAGTGTATCCGGATTCCTAAAATTCCCAAATCACTGAGCATTATATATGACCGCGTGCTACAACTCGAAACACACAGTTGAAAGTTATAGTTTTTCTAGTTTATTTAGTGGTCAATATAGTTCTTTATAACAAACCACCACTTTCTTCATTTCCTGCAGATTTGTGCCGAAGTGACTTCTTGAAACCCACGTGAGCAAGTTTTGATTTGTGGAACACATCCTCACAGTGAGTGGAGAATATTTTGATGTTTTAAAATTGAGAAAAAAATTGTCTAAGTCAGACAATGTTTCAAATCTAAGGGAAGGGAAAATGGCTATAAAGTAGCCACCAGTCATGTATCAAAAAGTATTATTATACCTCAAGGTTCAAAGTACATGTATTCTCACTACTGTAGGAAGCAATTATGTATTGGGGGGGAGGGGGGGTGATTAGTCAGGGCCGATTATTAGGTAATTATTTCCCTCTCAAACTTTACAGATTATGTACTGTTTAATAAGCGAGCAGGAGTGTTTTATTAGGTTTAAAGACACAAGCGCGCAGCGCGAGTGGCTTTAGACCTAATAAAACACGACCTGCGAGTTTATTAAATTAAACGGCTTCAAACACGACTACAAGTTCAATAGATATACCACCTTATTAGTATTCTTTATATAAAAAATACTAATGAGGACACAACAACAATAGATACTGCCTTATTAGTATTCTTTATATAAAGAATACTAATTAGGGGTGTTTTATCAGGTTTAAAGCCACTGCACATGACATATTATGGTTGACATGATTTGCCAATAAGCTTATGAATTATTAATGAGTTTTTGAACACTAATTTAGAAATTGTTGGGGGGGCGAAACCCCCCCCCCCCCCCCCCGGTGTCTACGGCCCTGATTCTTGTGCCTCATTGGAAGAGTGTGTATCACATAAAAGTCACAAAATTCAACTGTCTCACAGCAACAGTTCTGAGCAGCAGACATTACTTTTATTCAAGAATTCTTCCAGTTTGAGTCTACTAAACACCACAGAATTTCTCCAGGAACTCTGGTTTCCTCGTGTAGCAAAACTGGACCAAAAAGAGATGGCCCTAAATGAACCTCGATAACTTAGAACTGAATACAGATCGTTTACTAAATATGTTCATCTTTTATCATTACAGATATTTATCCCTCCCTCATTCTGCTTGAATAAAAAAGTTCTCGATTGCATTGAAAATTTATTTCACTTTGTGAAGGTAAGGATCACCTTGTGTACATTTTGTCAATAAGTTGTGTTTTGCTGTCTTGATTTTTGAACCCATAACCATTAATGTGCAAAGGACCTTCTCTTGACACAAGTATAATCCTTCTCGTCCCCGCCCGCATCCTTTTTCCCTGCCGCATGGATTTTTCTTTTTTTTTTTAATTTTTATATTCGAGCCTTTCAAAGAATTTCCACTTAGTGTATTTTTGCTCCTTTCGGCATAGTTCGGTTGCCGTTTGGAAATTTTCGTCAACTCTCGCTTGATGTTCCGTATTTTGGTGCCATATTGCATTAGTAGCTGTTTGTATATTTTAATATATTTACGTTTTATGAGTAAACTTCAATATTTGCTTTTGTTTATAGGTTATTCGGTAAACTTTAAGAGCAATATTTGAAGGTTTAACAAAAAAAAAGCGCCCCCATTCTCCTTTTTTTTCTAAATTCGGACGAGAAACTACTAATTTTTTTACTTGGCCTTACACCAAAATAAACAAAAATTATTGGATTGAATTAGGTTGTGGAAGCTTCTAGCTAATAGGATTAGGGAGTGGAGTCCAGGAAATACCATAAGTTTACTGTAACTAATCTGTAGTCTGTAGAAACACGAATATTGGATATTGCTAATAATCATACTTTACAAATAGCTCTAAAGCACACTTTCATGCTGTTTTGGCAAACTGTGACAGTTTTTGATGCCAAATACATGTATATTAAATAACAACATTTAGCACTACTTTTAACTTCTAAGTTTTAGAACACTATACAGCATAAATTTATATCTCAAAATGCAGAGATCATACAACACAAGACAACATTCAATCTTACCATGAAAAAAGACTTCAATCACTTTCATCGTATTAAAATAAAAATTCGAAAAGTTTACATTTTTTGGTGCAAAATTTCTCAAATTCAAAATGGCGCACAATGACGGGCGAGCAGGCTGCAATTGATACACATTTCAGCCCTAAAAACAGGCATTTGGATGGCCTTAAATCAATCAAAATATCAAATTAAAATATCAAATACAGTAAACTGGACGAAAAACATAATTCCTCTGTTACAAAACTGTATTAAAGCAAGCTATTTAAAAAAAATAAGTCGAGAGAATAGAGTTTGGGGCTAAAAATATTTCAGGCGGAAGTTTAAATTGGGTTAATTAGCGCGGGAAATGACGTGCGTCACATGACGTCACAGATAATTAAGAGGGTTCATGCCGACCGCGTGAAAAGAACGACTGGAAAACTACTCAGTTCATTGCTGGACGCAGTAAGCTCGAAAAGCAAGCGAAAGAAAGCTTTTAACTCTTTAAATTTCAAGTGTTTTACATCGCAGGTAACCATTTTTCTTTTAAATGTTTTGTGTGTGTCTAAGTTGTTATTTTTGCTCGTTTCCTGGACAAATTTCCGGTCGAAATTGCGTGTTTTTGAAAGGTCAAACATGGGACATGTCGATGTTCACGAAACTTAATATTAAGCATCTACTTCCTCGAAAAAATGCTAAAAATACAATTAGTTTTAGCGTGGGTTATCCCAAATACAGATATAATGCAAGTCATTTGAATAAAATTCGAGAAACGAACGGGCCGCGTGAATTTTGCGAGGATTTTCCTTGTGCCCTTCGCCGCTGAACTAAAAATATACAAGTTCAACGTTAATATAACAACTTTAACAGCTGTTCAGCGTTAAATTGTACGATTAACATTGAGCCTTTTGCATGAATTCAGTATTTCTTTCGGTACTCCTTCGATAAAACTTCGAATGTTCGACAGCAATGGCAAGTACAATGTAAAATGCGCCGTTCTGTGGCCAAACTTCGCTTCAAAATTCAAAGAGTTGTAAAAATTGTATTTTCGAGATGTGCGTTTAAAAATCCAATGTTAATCATAGATAAAATACATTAAATTAGTTTACATGTAAGAAACACCTGGGCTGTAATAGATTGCAGATGAAAGTTTGCTTCCAAATTGTGTGCATCTGTGATTTGGGAAACTTTGAATGGTACTTTAGATTCAAGGTGGAAATTTGGGTTGAATTTGGTTGAAAGGGTGGTATTGCTTTTTAGTATTTTTGCACAAGTGAACATAACAAATCCTACAAGGTGATTTCAAAATTTTCAAAATGGCGGCTAGCCGCTTTGTTGAAGTTAGTGATAAAGAAATAAGCGAAATTAAAATGAATTCAGACCAGAAAAACACAAAAAAACTTGTGCAAAAATACTAAAACAATTATTCGCCTCAGGTTCGGTGATTATCGGGAATATTCACCTCGACTTCGTCTCGGCAAATATTCCCTGATAATCACCTCGCCTTCGGAAATAATTGTTAAATAATGCAACGCCATTGTTTGGTGCCGTCAGCATATATAGTTTCTGTCCTGTGATAAGGGTTTTTTGTGTGACAATGGCATGGAAAGTACTAGCAAAGAATTAATACCACTAGCATGCGGCAGTCCTATGACTTTGCCAAACTGCCCACACACCAGACTGGATTATGTAAAGTGTGTTTGCCGGACTTGTCCGATGTACAAACACAAACTTTGGCACACATTTGTTTACATAGACTAGTAATTGTTCAAAGTTCACAAATTTGGACCAAATAGGTTTATACTAAAAAGGTGTATTTGGAACTTTTGCGCATTTATATTTTCAAACTTGGCGTACATTTACATGTGCCTGAATCAATTTCCGGCGTGCAAAAAATTAACTATGCAGACTGGTGCAGGCTAAGATAGTATTAAATCCACATTTTAAATATATATTTGGGTGAAAATGAGATTACAGGACAACGTATGGAGCCATAGGAACAAGTTCTGTGACTGGCTGACGAAACAAGTCCACAATTGCAGTATGAAATCTATTTGATGACCCATTAGTCTAGAATTTTATGATGTGTAGTATATTAAAAAAATAGGAGATACAATGGCACAGTATGGCTTACTGGGTTAATTATTAACTTGTCAATAGATGTAGTACATTGCCCTGAATTGTAAAGTTTGCTTGCAATGAAGTTGTGGCCTAGGTAGTTAAAACTCCTAGTTTTATCAATACAGTATAATAGAAAGAGCTATTGATGAGTTTGTTGTGCTCAGGACTTGGAATTTTCAACACTATCCCGATACTAGAACTTGAAGTCAATTATCCACCATGGAAATCAGTATCCCACATTTGGATAATATTATCCAAACATTGAAAAAAGGCAAAACAAAATTTGAATTGTAATGAATTTGATAATATAATGAATCTCAGATATGTTTGTAAAAAGATTTGTAAATAACAGAGAAATATATGTATAGAGGAGAGAAATTTGTTGCAGTAGTCTCAAAAACTATCGTAAGATATTACCTGACCAGTAGAAGTAATAATGACATTCTGTACCGGTACATCACATTTGGGAGGTTTTTACTTGCCAAAGTATAGATAAGAATATAATCACAGACAACTCCATATTGTACCTAATGAAATCTGCATCACAAATGAAAGATAAAGGCATTAAGTTGCACTGCTATTTTACTGTCTTTGATGCCAGATGATTTTACTCGTCAATGGGAGAGCCATGGGCTTAGCCAGAGGCCCATCCACCTGTCATTTGGACGTGTATTTTTCAATGTGGACAGGCAAAAAAACTCCAGTATTTTGTCTTTAGTAATACAACTGTATACAAGCTTAAATTTTGCTATAACATGACATTCAACAGTCGCTGCACATCCACAAGCAAACAAGTTACAAATCCCTATATGTATTAGCAAAATATTTAGTGGTTTAAGTTGATTTTAACAAAAACTTTGGCGATTATGTTTGTGAGGTCAACCAATGCTATTTGCTCTTCAGTTTCAAGTGCAATTTTACACATGTTTTTTTGACTGCTAAAAATCGCGTTTTTAGAAGATAAAGATCTAAGTTCAAATTTATTCGAAGGGAAACATTTTTGGACGGGTAGATTGATAATCTTGCCCTGGGGAGAGCACTGGCAGGGTTTTTTCAGGGATTTTTTGGGGCTGTTAAATGGCCCCAAAAACTCAATCTTGAATTGAGTTTTGAAACTCAATCTTCTCACCAAAGTTTCAGTGCAGTAACAATGAAGTTGTTTGAGTTAAATTTGTGACATGTGGAAATTAGTTTTCAGTTGGAAACCCGACAATTAAAAAAAAAATGGCTGGAATTCATCGCCATCTTTAACCAGTTTATAGTGTCCCTTAGTGCCCCTGCTTTAACACATTCCCTCTCAACTACATTTATCCAGTACAGGTGTCAGCCCCCCCGCTAGGGGGGAAGCCGCCCCAACTGTTCAGCTAAACTCAATCTTCTCTGCAAAAACGGACCCAAGAGAAAATCCTGAAAAAAACCCTGACTGGTGCTCAAAGGGTTAATTCATACTGTCACTCATGTAATGAGAAATTATACCGTAGAAATTATTGGTTGACTGCTAAGATGTGTGAAATCTCTTCAGTGTGTGTATAGCCTATAGGTATAGAGCCAAGTTTCATGTTAATATCCTTAGCTTTAAAGTCACTCCTTTGTCCCCACCTAGTGTCCGCCACTGGGTACCACACTTTCAATTAATTTCAGATTGAGTGGTGGGTGGTAATAAGCACAAATTCTGGGATACCTGTAGCTTATTGTGATGACACATGTTGTTTGACACGTATTGACAATCCCAAAAGTATCATGCTGTTCAAAACAATGGGATTTAAACTTCCAAAACAAGTCGTTTGAACCTTAACCGTTATAAGATTTTCATAAGTGTTCTTCACCAGTTGATTTTGTATTCTGTTTACTCAAAAAATACTTCAAACTAGGATAAAAACAATGCTTTAAAAGCATGCTGAACTCTCGAGGCTGTGCGCGAGGATATTGTTAAGCTATGTCCTCTCTGGTGGAGTGGTGGTTGCTCTTCCATGTAGCAGGCTAAATTATCCTTGTTTATCAAGTTTGTATTTTTTGCCCTTGAATGCCTGTCGTCTTGACCTACATTGTAGTCTAGCTTTTGGCTCTGTGCCCTGGAGACATCTGTCAAAAATGTGCATGACATTTGCAAGATGCAGTCTGGTTGTGGCTTTTAAGTAACGGAAGATTGTTTCCAAAGCGTTCACTTTTTTACCCGTCACAAAATCTTGTAATTTACCACAAATTCTGCGCATCTAAATTGTGTATTTCTATATGCGAAAAGTTTCCGTGCAGACTTGTGCATTCCAAGCCCTAACAGTGATCGTTTCCTGTGCGAAATTGTGCGTCAGAGTGGAAGAGTCCACGTCAGAGTGTGAAATAAACAAACCAACCAACCTAATTTCCCCCCAGCTGGTTTTGAAACATTTGCATTGCGCGCAAAGGTCACGTAAATAGACTATACAACACTTTAAATATTTACACCACTGGAAAAATCCCGGTAATTTCCACACGTGAAAAATTACACTCTTGCCAATTCAATAATTATCTCGCCATGAGGAGGAAATGAGCTTTGCAAAAAAACTCCTGAAAACTCCGAAGTCTGGAGTCTAAATTCCGGAGATACTTAGTCACCCGTCCTTGGTATCAGCCAATCAAATCTTGCTCAATGTTCCCGTTTTCCTTCGACAGGTAACCTGATCTCATTTGGAGTGCATTTCCCAGTTCAAGTGATATCTGACTCATCAGGCTGAAGCTTCGAGTCATCTGTGTATAAAAGACTTTGCGAGAGGTGAGTACTGTCATTTAATGCTGTTTGTATTTGTGAGCAATTTATCTAAGAAACATTACCTCTAAAGAGTGCAGGTAAGGTGGATAGTATGATGTCATTTGTATGGTATGGACCACGTTGTCTAATGCGCAAATAGAGGGCAGTGATTTTGTCATTTCGAGTATGCATCTTGTGAAATTTTAGTGCGTCAACGATGTCAACGACGCAAAGCACAATTCTTCCTTTATGTGTTTGGCTGTATTAATAAAGCTGTATAGTTTAATTATTACAACATCTTCATCTATGTATAATTTAAAGCAAAGTGTCTGTGTATATATTGGGAAATATTTTATTGCGTCACGGGTCATACGTATCTCCTAAGTTGGTTCTATTGTATCTTCAGATTTTGCAACAACGTAGACGAGTTGTGTGTTTGATTTACACAGTACAACTCAAGTTGTAAGGAGGTTGCATGCGACAGTTTTAGGCAAAAGTTATGTAGTATCAATTGGCTTTTAGGAAGTATGTTCTGTATGTAACACAGATAGCTAACGTCAACATCTGTACCAATGTATGTTTCGAAATTATTTCGCAAGAATTAGATTTTAATTAACCACGTTTCGAAATTATTTCGCAAGAATTGGGTTTTAACCACGTTTTGAAGTTATTTTGCAAGAATTGGGCTGAGTAAAACGAACTAGCAAAACAGGTGTATGCCCTGTTTGACTGGTTACTTTACAGCCTCTCTGAGGACACGATGGAATTACGAATGTTTTAAGGAACCTTAAACGCGTTTTGCGTTTTATGCAAATTGCTGTTTAAGTCCGTTAATAGCTCGCGTATAAGACGGAGACAAAACATTTTTTTATTTCTAGCCTAGTCTGTCCACAGTCTCATCCAGAGTCAGGTTTACTATATTTACACAATATGACCAAAACAAACCAAGTGTAAACAGTTTGTTTTCCTTATTCACTTGTATGTGATAAAACTCGGGGGTATCCGCACGGGCGCGTTGCTCTAAGCTTTCAGTATCTTTCCTTCTGCTCACTCATAGAAAGTCAATTTTGTAATTCTTAGAGTAGCTATTTGCGCGATTGATCAGTATGACTGTATGTTAATATCTGTGCACGGTTTTTTGACGCAAAGAAAGAAACTATTTATAGCAAGGATTAAGGCCAAGTAATTTTGTTTTTGTTCGAAAGTCACTCGCTATTCTGAAAATACTGTTTTGGCTTTTTACACTCGCTGTGTTGACTGAAATGCTTTTCCTTTGGTTTAATTTAAAACAACTTAGAGTAAGGGTATGCTCCCAATCTGCCAACATATTAATAAGTATATCAATTTCTTTCGCATCTCAATTCCAAACATTTTTTCTCGCAATTTGATCTGCTTTATACACAAAATGTTTTCGCATCCCACGCAAAATGTGTTTTTTTCTCAGAGTGGTAATATCACCGAGTCGAATGAAAACTACTACTTCTACGGTTGTCATTTAGGGGCGTTTCTTTCCGAACGATGGAACTAACGTTTCGTCTCATCTTTGTTGTTGTTGCGTGATTTGTACACCTTTCAACACCATGTATTTAGTTTCCTGATTAAATACTTTTTTTAATACTACAGTGTATTTTAATTATTACATTCCATCATCGCATGACGAGTAGTTAAGGTGGCTCCATACACTTTTCATCATTGGGGGACTGGTACCTAATCTTCAGTTCTCGCGCGAAAATGTTAAAAATATATGCAAAAATAAATACAACTTTTTCAGTATAAAATCCGAACCACAAGTCATGTTTATTTTGATGTTTTGAGTCTTCCTTGTTCTCATTTGTTCTCAAAGAACAAACTTCGTCCTGATTTAGCTCTGAACATTGAATAACTAGTCTTTTTAGAAGACATTTTAAGGTAAAAAAATGCAATGTTCAACTTTCAAATTCTTGTGAAAACTGGCGATCGGCCCCGGACCGGCGAAAAGTTTTTTACTCCAATATTTGGCGATTTATAAGTTCATATCCAGAGCTTTTTTGTACTTACAACTGGTAAATGTATTCAAAGTGTTACTAACAGCAAAGGAATTCAGTGAAACAGCATCATGCGCCGGCTCAAACTGTTTTAACTTGTCAACAACAACATGAAAACACACAAGTTACGACTGAAAACGAATATAAAACTATGTAGAAAAGCCAAAAAGTTCATACATGTCACACATATCTTATACCAAACGACCGACAATCACCTGTTCTCTTGGCGTTATCCCGAGTTAGCATGAAAAACCAAATATATTTGCATTTCTAAGCAAGAAAACACAATATATATTTGATATTTCGACGAGACTAAAAACTTTTTTGTGCGTGTTTTTCTGGAGATGCGCCTGCGAAAACATGTACGCGCATGTCAATTCATTGATCTTGCAGAGTGTGAAAAACTTTGGCCGCGCGGAATAAAACCGTGATTATTTCCAAAACGAGTTCGGTAAGGTACCCTGAAAATTTGTACATGAGTAGATACATGCTTCAAGATTTCATGATGGAAAAATAAAAAAAAATTGTCGACAGAAACTGTCAAAAAAGTCGAAATTTAATTCTAAAGAATTGAGTCGACAGATATTTTTTTAAACTTCCCAGAAATGTTTCTCGACACTAACGTAACTGATTTATTAAAAAAAAAGTTGGGGTCACCGAACTCATTTTTTAAAAAAAACTCGAAAAACTGCGATATTTTCGGCTATTTAGTGTTGCCAGTATTCGTTATAGTTGTCATGGAAACGCGACTTTTATCAGAATTCTTCTTGTCTGTGACACGTCTTATTATGTGTTACAATTATAAGTAAAACTTAACCCTGTAAAAGCATTTAAACAGAAAATATTCAACTTTTGCTCCTTTGGCTAAAAAGTGTATTGAGCCACCTTAATTGTCAACACGCAGAACACACAATCGAGTTCTATGTTTTGGAAATTGCGTTGCAACGTTTAATGATTAAATTCCATCATTCATCACAAGACGAGTAGTTAATTGTCAACACGCAGAACACACAATCGAGTTTTATGTTTTGGAAATTGCGTTGCAACGACTTGTCCTACACGATTTAATTCGAAAAGCGCTTTCCTGGGTGTAAGCTAGACACCAGGCCACAAAATTGTTACCAGCTTCAAATCAGTATCACCGTCTTATAAGCAGAAACTGTCTGTACACAACTGCATAAAAAAAACGAAGCAAGGAACAGGATAGCCTGCGCGCAGACTATATAATGACATATATATGTCATTATATAGTCTGCGCGCAGGCTAGGAACAGGACGGCTAGCACGTTAAACAAGTCAAACAGGCGCTTAAGTGGTCACGAAACGTGATCGATTCCAATGCTCCCTTAAACTTTCCTTCATTTTCTCCTAGGTTAATTTAAAGTAGTCAATATGGCTTTAAACGTGCTGGGACTTGTTGGTATCATCGTCTTCTACCTACTTATCCTTGGTGTGGGCCTTTGGGCAGCATTCAAGCGTAAAAGAAGCAGCAATAGTGATGAATTATGCGAGGGAGGGGATAAACCGACTGAAAGTGAGGATGTGATGTTAGCGGGACGAGATATCGGACTTTTTGTTGGAGCAATGACTATGACAGGTACGTCAAGTTTGTTTGTTTAAGCCTGGTTTCCATATGGTCGTAAAAATAGTGCCACGATCTTTCTCAACGGCCAGTTTATAATAGTTTATACCTGTAAACCACATATTAAATCATAAGTATTCTCTGGTTATAATCACACCGCGTATTTTCAGTTCTAAAATGTTGTATTTCGGCTGACGAGAAAGATCGTGACTCAATCTTTACGATTAGTCATATGGAAACCCGGCTTCAAGGAATACGAAATGGTTTTAAAATGTTTTCATTGTCCAATGTTTTAAAAAGCCCGCGCGAAAGCATTCAATTTTTCCGTGAAGGATTGTCTTATCCTTTGCCCAGTCAAAAAGGTGTTTTCCTCAATTGCTAGGTTTGTTTGTAAGTTGATGGTAACCGGTTGTTTGTTGATGGTAACTTGTCTAGTTAATAACCATGCAACGTTTTGTTTCTCATAGCAACGTGGGTCGGCGGTGGTTACATTAACGGCACAGCAGAAAAAGCTTACTCGCAAGGCTTGGTATGGGTGCAAGCACCGTGGTGCTACTCATTAAGTTTGACATTAGGTGAGTTCCTTCGCTCCTATTTTCAAATTCCTGGGTTCACAATCCCATTGAGCGCCACAGATCAACATCTTTATAGCAATGTGTTGGGTCAAGAAACCATGCAAAATTTCGGACAAAAATGGAAAAGTCTTAAAATTTCTATGCCGATGACGCTACAAAATTTGCAAGATCCCACCATGCGCAAGTGAACTTTACAAAAGCAAATAATTTATGATAATACTCACCGTACAAGAATTAAGCTATCGCCTATCTACTTCATGTTTTTTATATTTTAACTCGTGCGTCATCCATTTCAAATCTATCAACCAAAAAAGAATATAGAAGAATCAATAGACGTAATTTCATGATTATCAGATTGAATTATTTTCTCCAAGTAAAACGTTGAAAAGTATATTCAGTTTGATTGCGTGCGAAAGTTTCAAACAGCAGTTTCGTCCAGCGCTAGAGTGTTGGTCTGTGGCCGGGATGACCTGGTTATGATGATGTTTAACGATCTTGCTCCTATATTACTGTCCACTTCAGGTCTGTGTTACTAAGAGTTGCAACCAACGTGCAGGTTTTCACAATGTTTATAGGTATCGTTTGATTCGTTTCACCGTAATAACGTAACAAAATTAAGATCCATATATAGCCGTAAAACATCCCAAAAAGTCTATATTTCTCAATCAGAAATTATACTTATTGAACGCGATTTAAGGTTGGATGCGCGCAATGTGACTGGCGTTATTAGGGAGCTTTAGATTTGACTACGAGTACGAGATTTGATCGCGTGCTAGGAAATTACCGTAGTCGTTTTCGTTTCCATTCAAATGTTGCTTTTATAGCAGTAAACCAACAATGAGAGAAAAAGTTTCATAAACTAAATCTACTGCAGACTAAAATCCCCTAGAAAACGTGTAAATAAGACATAACATTAAAAACAGGCCAGATATTTAGTTCTAATATATTATTTGCGCCGGATAAACGCTATATAAATGCTACAAATTATTTCTGGAAAACAAAAAAAAGCCAACTTTCTTTGTTGTTTTTTTTGAAAAGTCGTGGTGAGGACTACGAGATTTCTCCACAATTTCGTACTCAGATGGGCGACGGCTACGACTCTTTCGCGTCAGTACGGGATGGCGTAAGCATACAGCATGCGTTTAGCTTGACGAATCTCGTACTCGTAGTCAAATCTAAGCTCCCTATTAAGTATTGGGGGGACGCATTCACGACGCATTTGGGAACGCGGTAAAAAAACACATGTCAAGAGCATTTCGCAGGCTACGCCTAGAAGTCGTGTTTCAATCTCGTCTATAACGTGTTTGACTGCTACAGCTAAGTGTTGATAAGTTTAATTTCTGAATGAGACTTGAGACTTCTATTTCAAGAACATCGTCACTTAAGAACCTCTATCGTATTTCCATATCGTGCACTTTGTTCTCGCGGCGGAGTGTTTTGTTTCAATCCACTTGAAATTGTAATTTTGAAAATAAAAAAATAATCGAATTGAATCGCTGATTTCAATGGACCATTCCCCAATTAACCAAAATTTTGATCTCAACAAATCTAGACAAAATTCCATCATAGCATGAAAGAGCATCACAAAATTAGTAATATTCCAAAGTTTCGTTTTAAAATGTTGTAAAATGCGGATAATATAGCCTTGCGAAGTTTGCAATTTTCAGTCATTTTAGATTACAAACGGGAAATGGTTACCACTTCTGTGCGTAATACAAAATGACTAAAAATTACAAACTTCGCAAGGCTATATTATCCGCATTTTACAACGAAACTTTGGAATATTACTAATTTTGTGATGCTCTTTCAAACTGTGGTGAAATTTTTGTTTAGGCTAGTTAAGATCAAAATTTTGGAAAAGTGGTAACCATTTCCCGTTTGTATAAATCTAAAATGACTGAAAATTTGAATTTTACAACATTTTGCAACGAAACTTTGGAATATTACTAATTTTGTGATGCTCTTTCATGCCATGATGGAATTTTGTCTAGACTTGTTGAGATCAAAATTTTGGTTAATTGGGGAATGGTCCATTGAATCGCCGATTTCAATTGGATCGGACGTGCACGCTCCGCCTAAGAGAGCAAAGCGTGTGTAATGGTAATCACCCCTGCTAAACCTCCCACAGATGGAGTACGGTACTAGAATCCTATAGTAAAATCTTTGAATGGGGCGTATGGGGAACAGCGGCAAAGAGTCATGGGTGTGTAGATTTGGGGGCAAGGGTGCCACCCTATGGGCTACATTAAAAATAAATCTTAAAATATAAACTGGAAATCTTATGGGGTACATTAAAAATAAATCTTAAAATATAAACTGTAATCTAAACTATTGTAATCTAAATTATTGCACTGTAAGCTAAATTATTGTAAAAGTGATAACGGGGGGTGATTTACAGTCGGCATGACAATCGAATGTGGGGGTTGGGTGGGGTCTGGTGGCAACCATGTATAGTCTGTTAATCATATAGGATTGTCTCCCACCACGGCGTGATTTGGACGGGGGATTAAGTGATGGCAATTGGCGGTTTGTATCCAGGTATTTAAAATCTGTCGTCACCAAAATTCACAAAAATAAGTCAAGCTGCACATTTCATAGTCACAATAAATCATACCATGTTTACTTGTTGTCAAACATAAAGGGTTCGTATACGTTCTTGATTAATCTGAAAATGAGAGAATTAAATGACATTATCCCAAAACGTTGAAAGGGTATAAGGACCTCTATAAGAAAGACTTTGGCTACGGTAATTTCTAACAAAAATTGTTGACCTTGAGAAAAGAATAATTCCATGGTATGTATGTAAATGTTGATAAGTACATACTGATTTTTTTTTATCCACAAAGACGAATATAGATCTGACCAAGAAGAATATAGATCTCTATGAACATTGATACAGCTTCATTTTCAAAACGTATACGGACCCTGATTATGACAAATGATGTGCTGAGTATATCAACGCACTGTTCATAGTCATCAGTGTTCATAGTCTGTACAAAACAAACAGTACACCATTCATTTGATTTCACAAAACACAAGCACAATGTTAATTAAAATTAAAGTTATTCCGAAAAAAAGTGTACATATAGTTATAATACACAATTCGTTAAAACTGATTAATATACTTTAATAAATTGTGTATGCAAACCTTTTTCGTAATAACTTTAATTTTATACATGCTGTGAAAGTGTTAGGCGGCAAAGGATTTTACAATAAAATTAAGCACAGCAGTTCATCACAGCAAGTTCATTTGAGGAATAAAATGTAAAGCACAGCAGTCCATGATCATAATCAAGTATTCACGTTTGGTAACGTGTATGTTCATTGTGATTCTCTTTGCTTTAGCTGCATTGGCAGTCGTTGTTATGGCGATCTTAGCTGAAGGGATGGCTAAGGTTACGTTATAGTGCACGTAAACATTCTTTTTAATAATCAATATTTAATGTAACAGTGTGGGTTGTTTTGCATGCTATACGGAACGAGAATTAACTCCTGGGTCATATTCAGGAGCGGGGCTGGGGTGCTCAACATTCGGGTGTCGGTTTTGCATGTGTGTTTGTATTCATGTTGTTTCGGATTCAAAACAGTTTGATTTGCCAAACAAAAATCACAGTAGGGCAGTTTTTTGTGCATTTCTAAGACATCAAATCTTGTTACGAAAGTTTAACTATTCCCCAAGACTTCAAAAGGATTTCAAACGTTTAAAAAAATGTTCTCACGAAACGACACACAAGAGTATCCACTGATAATTTACAACTTAAAAATGCATTCTTTATGTTTAGCAAATAGCAGAATTACGAATGAAGAAATTTACCTTTTAAAAACAACAAAAGAGTAAAACTCTATTTTTCTTGAAAAACATTTCACACAAGAAGACAGTATAGTGCATGTTTTCGAAAGTCCAAACAAAATGTTCACAGTTTTGGCGAATTTCCTTCGATAACGTCTTTTGAAAATATTTTCCATGTCTTTACGATAAGCGGGAAGTTGCCCATGTTTGGTTAACATTGACCTCAACTTTTTTCCTCGACGTCACTTCGTATTTTCAATCTTCTCTTCCTCTTGACAAAACGACAAATGACGTGTGAGCATGATGAAGCGATACTCTCTTGTATTTCTATATCCAACTTTGATCGGTTTAACTGTTTCAGCAGCATCTTTATCACGTGGTGATTTAAATCAATAACACTAAGGAGTAGATAAATATTTCAAGATAATCGATCAGAGTAGAAAGATTTAGAAATGCAATATGGAGATTACTTGACATGGTTTACTTACATGGTGATGTGCAACCAATATCCTTGTGACAAATTTCCTTCATGTACATCATTCTATTCTTACCAATAGCCCTTTTAATTTAAGAGGTCGATTCTATTTCATGTCCACTGAAGTATTTTCTGTTACCGTTTCCACTTTTAATGCCCAATGTCATTTTCTTTCCTGACCAAATCGTAACAAATTGACCGTAAACTAGGTGTGAGAATATTGCTATATTCAATAGGAATTATTCTGAATATAAACAGTGGAAAAATCCTTGGAAAAGTACTTCAGTGGGTATGGAATAGCATGTTATGAATTGTATTAAACCCATTGTACTTAACTCACTGACTGAACAAATCGCCAAATCACCGACACTCCTTAGTAACCTACATTGGTGCACATCACTATACAAGTGTCGAAAATACCACATACTAAATCCTCAATTTTGCATTTTAGGCGGTTTACTATTCGCAGAGAAGATGCGTGCCAAGAAATACGTGACTATGTTGGACCCCTTCCAGGACAAATACGGCTCAACAATGGGCGGCTTTCTGTACATTCCTGCTTTCCTTGGTGACATCTTCTGGTCTGCCGCCATCCTTGCTGCTCTGGGTGCTTCGATTAGTGTAGTTATTGATATTGACACGACCACTTCCATCATCGTTTCTGGCGCTATTGCTGTATCATATACATTGGTTGGAGGACTGTATTCTGTCGTCTACACTGATGTCGTGCAACTGATATGCATCTTTATTGGACTGGTAAGTTTGTCGTCTTTTATAGTAGGATTCAATGTGCTCCATCAACGTTTTATCCGTCTCTTCGCAATTTTAAACACGAGTGCAAACAGCTAGTGGTGTTCGTATTACTTATACTGGCTGTACCTTTCGTAATGTTGTATATATGTGCCTCCTGAACGGACTCTTTGTATAATTACGCGCGTTTGTATATTATATGAGATTGAAGCATATCAACCTAATCAGTTTACTATGTATTTCCTCTCCACCTTCAGTGGCTGGCTGTACCATTCGCAATGAGCAATGATGCTGTTGACCCCATCAGTGAGCACAAAGAAACATGGGTTGGACACTGGGAAATGAAGAAGACTGGCAAATGGCTTGATTATGTTCTCTTCCTGGTACGTTTAAGATTTCAGTTCACTAGACCACTGTCGCATGACTTCAGTAGGTTTGAGATCCCTGTCAAGGCTGCAAATAATTATTTGACTTGACAGGACATTTGTCCGATCAATTTTAATTTTGGTCGGACAAAAACCAACATTACTAAATTTGGTCGGACATATATACGTCACAAAATATTTGATAAGTCACGAGACAAGTATGTAGCCTGTGCCATTCCGGCGCAACGTTAAGTAAAATTAAATGCTAGAACGCCTCGTAAATTTTATTGCAAAATGCAAATTGAGTGAATTTGCAATCGGATTTTGTCACAGCAAAAAATGTATGATGTGACATTTTCAGTATCACTAGACCACTTTCGCATGACTTCATTATGTCCTGTTGATGTGATATTTTATATAACCTAATGTACTCTCATGCTCACTGGGAGCGAGGGCTTCATTGAAAAGCATCTTGGGATGAATGAATTCCTTCGATAAAATATTCATTCATATTCAGTGCAAATTTAATTTCCCGCAATTTTCTTTCAGACATTCGGTGGCATCCCATGGCAAGCATACTTCCAACGTGTCCTCTCGTGCAGAACGACCAAACATGCCAAATACCTGTCATTCGCTGCTTCTTTCGGATGCTTCATCGCCGCTATCCCCGCTCTTCTCATCGGTGCCGTCGGAGCCTCAGCCAGTAAGTGGATATTTGAGAAATTGCGCTATTAATTCACTCACAAGTCCTACAGCCGGTAGATAGAGATAACGAAAGGCATATTAGTGATATTACGATTTTCAGCACTTATTGTTCAGAACACAAATCATACATGCGTATAAAATTTTAAAGGCTTTTGCTCCAAAATATACACGAGTTTTTATCTGGCTGTAGTAGTACACACACAACTACCACAGCCTTGCGCGTCCATCCAAAATATACGCTGATGCTTAACTCTTACCTTTCCCTAGACTGGAACATGACAGACTATGCAGATTTAACACCAAACGGAACCCTCAAGGAAGAAGATGCCAGTCGTATTTTACCTTTGGTTCTGCAATATCTCACACCATCAGCTGTGTCTTCCGATCTCTTGGTGCTGTCTCGGCTGCTGTTATGTCCTCGGCTGATTCATCAACTCTCTCGGCTAGCTCTATGTTTTCCAGAAATATCTACAAACTTATCTTCAGACCAAAGGTACAGTACGTCGGAAATAAGTTGAAGGCTCGGTGTTTTCAGGCTCGAGGGCTTTCAGGGTCGATCAACAACTAGGTCGGAATTGCATGTGTAGTAATTATCAGGGAATAAGCTACCACTGATTCTCACTACCTCGTGCAGAACCCAAGTTCACATATAATGTTAAGTCAAGCCGGATTACCTGTCCGGAGTTCCCAACAGAAGCCGGCACCCTCGCCTCTATATAGCGTAGACAATCGCTGGTTCTTGGAATTATAACCCTTTCCTCCTCGTGACAGAAATGTCAAGGGAAAGGTTTCTTGTTTTGATAACACAAATTTCAAATATTTTTCGTGGAATGGTTGGATAATATAACACACAATGACGTGACGGCCACGACGTAAGAGATCCAGGGTTGCTTTTTTAACGATTGTTGTTCGTCTGTTTCAGGCGACCGAGAGAGAAATGGTGTGGGTTATCCGTATTTCAATCCTTGGAGTGGGTATCATCTCAACTGTCTTGGCCTTGAACGTGCAATCCATCTACGTCCTATTCCATCTGTGTTCCGACTTGGTTTACGCTATCTTATTCCCACAACTATTCTGTGTCGTTTACATTGACGCTTCGAACACGTACGGTTCAATCTCCGGATACTTTGTGGGGCTTTTCTTCCGAGTTGCAGGCGGAGAACCACTGATCGGTTTCGACGCTTTGATCAAGTATCCATTCTATGATGAAGAATACGGCCAACTGTTCCCATTCCGAACCTTCGCAATGATCTGCTCGTTCTTGACCATCATCGCGGTCTCCTATGCAAGCCGATACTTGCTCATGAACAAAGTTATCCCGATCGAATGCGACATCTTGAATTGCTTCAAACACGAATTCGCTCCCCGTGAACACGACCACGATGCCAACTCGGTGAAATTAGTGGAAACGGTTAAACTGTGATCAAACCGGGGGGGAGGGAACTAAGACCATAGAACACCTAGAACATGCACGAGTAAACTTTACGAACTATTTTTGCATGCTCAATTAATGTTTATAGTTGTGCGTCCGTGTTGCCCTAGATGCAACGAGTTACTTCGTTGTGTAAAAACCGCGGAAACTGATTATTAAAACGTTTAAAGTAATTCAGACTTATGTGGATATACTGTTTAAAAAAAATTTCATGTGGATCAAAAATCATTGTAAGTAAAATACTAAAGTTGATATTATTTCAAATCCCTTGGAGAGGTACACAGTTGTCACCGCGGTGAGTGAGTAAGCCATATTTTCCACTGACCGTAAGATTACTGGGAGTTAGTTGCAGAAAATGTGAATTTAGTGTACAGACGTGTTACACTCGCTGTCAGCGGTTGCATTTCATTTGGAAGAATGATGCTAAGTTTTCTCAGAAAATACAACCATTTTGCTCCCCGTCGAACAGTTTCTGCTTACGAGTTCAATCTTGCGATCAGTGGAAAAGGCATTGTATGAAACGTCCCACGTTTGAAAACTTATCGAGATTTCTGTGCTGACAAATCGGCACCAGAATGGAAACATTGTGAAGGGAAATATAGTTTTGATGTTGGTAAAGTCAAAGTCCTGTTGCATGTAGATTCAGCCCGCTACTAAAAATCAAACAGCTGGGTTTTTTTAGTCCATTGATTTGTACTAAAAGAGTTTATCTACAAAAGTGCTATTCTATGATACTACCGTATTAATGTTTGTTCATGCCATGAGCTCGGATGAAAACTACATGCAACAGGACTGCACGCGGTGACACTGTTAATATGTAATCTTTATTATGATTTGGCTTCAGTGCAAGTTGTATTCTCATAGCTGATGCGTGCGGGACACCCGAATAGTCGCCCGCTCAGTTATGTGTGAAACAATTTATCTTTCTGCAAACCGAATAGACAAATAGTGAGTGTTCATTCTTTGGTCAACAGGTTGGATACAGCTTGTTTCTGGAATTGAAAATTAATATATTGCATCGAGGGTATTTAAGAAATGTATTTGTTATATTTGATATGTTAATACAGTTTAATATAGTTTTAGTTCATAAGTTGAATTCATATAGAGTATTGCGCTGTTTGTTTTTTTTGCCTCTATTCTAAGCAAGTAATGATCATTTGTATGATTGATTTTTTTTGCTGTGAATAAAATTACTTAAATGAAAAGATAAATGAATTAGCCCTTGTTTCTGCGCAGTAGACATTGAAAACTAGGTAGATATGTTTCCCATAAGAATATATTTCTCTTTGGCTATGACCCCAACCCTTTGCTGCATGCACCGAAACTATTATTCATGCCACACCATGCTGCGTCCATGTTATTTTATTCATCTCATATTTTACTATTTTGTCAGCAATGTCACCTGCAGAATTTTCGCGCAGCGCTTGTGTACTATAGTGGCTACGATAAATGTTATTGATAAATATGCGCCCACGTTCTACATTGTGACAAGTCTTTACAAAACATCGGGATCAGCGGTACTATCTGTCCCGTTTAACATCGCCTGAAAACTGTCCATCGATACCATACCAGCCCGCTTGTATGGTGTCAAAAAATTTCTTGCAGAAACTATCGCCACCTTTCGACCATATTTGCCTTCGACAAATGAAGACTCAATTTCGAGTCAGTAAAAGTGTTTAAAACGTCCAAGTGCGCTTACGGTAACCAATCTAAATTACGGTTTGTAACCAACGCCCTTAGGCAGACGGCGCTAAAGTTTCGCCAAGTTTGTCCAGTATTTCTTGTCGATAGTCCTCAAAACCGCCTTCGACTTCGTGAACATTTTTATCCTCGACCACCCAAAGTTGACATTCGGTTTCCAAAATTAACCTCGCATCGTGGCTTACTAAGATTACACCTTCAAAATATGATAATAGACAAATTTGGCTAACGCTTGTTTATACCCAATTCAAAATTTTAAGCCTGGTTTACACTGATCAGTGATCAAAGGTTCTGAGATCACAGTGTCAGAAATGTTTGAGGGAATTGACTCAGTGTTTAACATTAATGATTAAGGGGCGGACCATTAGAAAAGTGATGGGGAGGTTCAAAAAAAGGGGAAACAGAAAGAAAAAAATTCGTGCACCAAAACAGTTTGAAAAAAAAATTCGTGCAGAGACTTTTCAATAGGGAAAATTATAAGTTGAAATAAAAAAAAAATTATTATAATATATTTAAAAAAATTATCGACGCAAGCAAAAAAATATTCGTACAAGTTGAAAAAGTCCCCCTCCCCCCCCCTCCCCCATTACTTTTCTAATGTCCGCCCCTAAGTCAGTTTGCTAAAAAATGTGATACTAAAGGCTCATACACACCGGACGCGATTCGACAACGCCACGCGATTTTTCGATTTTCACTGAACGATAAGTTTGATTCTAGTTTAAATTTTCCAAATATGTATGGACCTTCAACACTTCAAAACTTAGAATTCCCCGCGATGCAAAATTCCTACTGAGATCACAGAAACTTTGATGTAATGTGGTTTACAGCTTTGATAGTGATTAAATGGCTTTAGATAATTCACTCGCCTAGTTACTATAGTTGCAAGTTACAGAAACATAGATACAACGAAGGTAATAAGATTGAAAATTATCTACATAATTCTAATGCATTGTTACCTTCGTCCTATTCTATGCTTCTGTAAACTAGAACAATATATATAGTAACTTTTTTATCTTAAAAGATATCTAAAGTTATGCATTGGTTGTCTATAGCTTTAGATATACGCTTATTAAAGATTAGCCAATTATAATACTTTGTTCATGATTAGTTTGCTCAGTTTTTGGGACTGGACAAAGTTCTAACGAATATCTGTGCATATGACAAAGCAGGCAAAAATTAGAAGCTACAATCTTGGACAAAACCCTTGAGACCATTCCAGCCAATAGTACAAAGTTATTGAACATTGACAAAACAAACTTTGTCTCCCCCTCCCCCCCCCCCAAGTTCAATGTTGTGAACAACGCCGAAAGAACTTTTGGTAATATACCATGATACAAGCTCAACATTGAGTTGGGGGAGCGGGGCTTTAAGAATGGCAACATGATTCAACATGGAGTTTATCATAAAAATACGCGAATTTTCGGGGGGAAATAATCTCAACCAGTTATGTCCAAAGATTGTAGAATTTTTAGACGTTTTAACTTACCGCCAGTGTACTTGTTTATGGCTTCAGCTAAAGCATCGATTGATTCAATGTCCAAGTTGTTCGTAGGTTCATCCTGAGAACAAGGGGAAGAAATTATTTCTGAATACATGGATTATTGGAAATGTGATTACATCAGTGAATGGACAGTTTACTTACAAGAATGATGACATCGGGATTACTCAGCGCAAGATCTGCAAAGGCCACTCGAGATTTTTGTCCTCCTATATATAAAACGAATGACACAGAAGTTCAGGCCTTTCAGAATTATTCTGAGGTGGCTGTGTTGATAAAGTAGGCGGCTGTGGGGAGCGGTCTTGGAGTCTTAAAGTCTTCTAAATTAACTAGACATAAGTGTATATTCAGGGGTGGATTTATAGGGGGGGTGAACACCCCTGTTGGCCTTGGTCAACGGGGGGGGGGGTGTGCAAAAATCAAATTCAGAAATATGGCACAATTTCCAAGGTTTTTCCTTTTTTGAAGTCATACTGAAGCTCATAATCCAATGCCCATATCGCAGGAAATGGCATTTCTAGGGTTCTAATCAGTTCAAAATGGTCCGGAGGGTATACCCCTGGACCACCTAGGGAGCTTGCGCCTTCGGCGCTCAAGTCGTTAGAAAGCCAATTCATTTGAATGCTCTCCCACCAAACCATAAATAATTATAAAGGAACACTCGGCTGCTCACCCAGAACCCCCTAGAAAAACCTTGCTGGATCCACCCCTGTGTATATTGATTAGATAACAACACAACTGAGCTCTGTAACCAAATTATAATGTATCACTACTTTCATTCTTCAACAAGATAACTTCAAGATTTAAGATGGCAAACAACTAAATCAGTTTTACGAAATAGTACGTCGTTTTAAAAAATAACCAGGCTATAAAGTAGACCAGGTTGAGGAAAAATAACTTTATTTGAAAGCTTAAAATGGAGGGAGAAGAGCAGAATTGATATTTACTAAACAAAGTAACAAGACTATGCGTATATACGCCAATAACGTACATTACCTGAAAGGTCTTTGATCTTAATCGTATGTGCATGCCCACTGAGGCCATATTGGCCAAGCGTCTTTCTGGATTCTTGGTAGTTCAAATTATATTTCCGCTAAAAACGATCATTGAGGAGGATCATTGAAAGAACTATTCCAAATAACCTACACTAGATCACCACTTTTAAAATATACCATTTCAAACAGCTCACCTGAAGGTACTCCACAGACGATTCTTCTAATTTCAACTATATTCAAGGAGAGAAGATCATATAGTCACTGCAATATATATATATATATATATATATATATATATATATATATATATATATATATATATATATATATATATATATATATATATATATATATATATATATATATATATATATATATATATATATATATATACAATAATAAATCGTTGTCCGTTGTACAAAAAGAGTGCTCAATAACAAATTTAATTGATAGAGCAAAATATACTAATTATGATCTTAAAATTTTATTAATCGCGATTAATAAAATTTTAAGATCATAATTAGTATATATATATATATATATATATATATATATATAAACGGGTTGTTTTTCGTTGAAAGACTAAAAAGAGTGCTCAATACTACTGATAAACAGTACAGTAGAGCTATGTAATTAACGTTACCCTCCC